GTCTTTAGGACAGACAGTTGTCAATTTGAGCGACAGACTTCTCAACCCCCTAGAAATGAACATTCTTGATAAAGGTCTTAAATTCATCCCAACCCCCACAATAACATCCATAGACCCCATCACCCAGGCAACCGATCGCTTCCAAAGAACACTTTCGTTGACTTATTTTTTTAGGAACAAACCCGGCAGAGGTAAAAAAATTATTCACAGCAAAATCCACATTGAAACCACCTAAAAAGTCATTATCACCAGTCATCCTAAAAACTTTCGACGAAATGAATATAGAAATATCATCCCTTCAACCACAATCACAAAAACCAAATCTCAACCGAGCAACTAAAACAGCATTAAATACCCTTAAAAAAGACAAAAACATAATAATTAAGAAAAGCGACAAAGGCTCGTGTTGTGTCATAATGAATCGCGCAGACTATATCTCAGAGGCAGAAAAAAAATTAAGTAATCCTATACATTACACTAAATTCGACCAACCCATCTTTAAGGACACCGCAACTTTAATAAACAACATCTTACATGAATTGCAGGATAAGGAATGCATAACAGCAAAACAATATGATTATCTATCTGCTAAATCTGATTGCCGACAAAGACATCTCTATACACTACCAAAAATACATAAAAATCCAGAAACAGAATGGTTTATACATAATAAATTACCCAAGGGACGCCCAATAATATCAGACTTTGACAGCGAATCATATAGACCATTTCTTATTACCCCTAGCATGCCAACAACCATCCTACCTTAAAGACGCTAACGATTTCATTCACAAAATCAAACAGTTAAGAGTCCCCGAACACGCCATTTTAATATCCATCGACGTACAAAGCATGTACACGAACATTGATAATAACACAGGTATTGAAGCAGTTAGGAAAGCATTTCTTATGAACCCGCAAGCATCCAGGCCGGATGAAGAAATCCTCAAACTACTCGACATTTGTTTGAGGAGGAATGACTTCGCTTTCAACGACCAAGTATACCTCCAGTCTTCCGGAACTGCGATGGGAAAACGATTTGTCCCAAAGTTATGCAAACCTCTTCATGGCGGAGTGGGAAAGGGAAGTTCTGCCACTCTGTCCATTAAAACCAGATTTCTATGGACGCTTTCTAGATGACGTTTTCATAGTCTGGACGTACACACTAGACGAATTTTGGACGTTTTTCAACATTTTGAACAATCATCATTCATCTGTCAAATTAACCGCAAATGTAGGTCATAACAGCATAGATTTTCTTGACCCGTCTTTAAAAGTAGCAACATCAAAAACACTGGCCAACTAGAAACTAAAGTATTTTTCAAAGAAACCGATACACATCAACTATTGTTCAAGAGCTCCTTTCACCCCAAACATACCTTCTCTGGCATCATAAAATCTCAGATTCTCCGTTTTCATAGGATATGTACTCAGAAAACGCTGGTATTTAGCAAACTAAGAGAAAGGGGATACTCCAAACGCGATCTACGATTGACGCCAAAGAAACAAATAATATGCAGTCAGCAGTTAAAACCAAAACTTGTGGCTATCCAAGATGTCAAACATGCAAAATTGCCGCCAAAGAAACAAATAATATGCAGTCAGCAGTTAAAACCAAAACTTGTGGCCATCCAAGATGTCAAACATGCAAAATCTTAAACATATCCGACCATTTCCATAACAAAACATCTGGCACACAATTCCCAATATTAGACCAACTTTCACGCAGTAGTTCGAACATTATTTATCTAATTTCATGCAGACAATGTGACAAGCAATACGTAGGGGAGACTCAAAATGCACTTAGGGAAAGAATTAACGGACACCGATCAGACATAGTCACCAAAAAAGACAAACCAGTCTCAATTCATTTCAACCAACCAAATCATGACATTTCTGATCTCATTGTCACACCAATAGAAAGGACCAAGAGCGACTTTGAAACTACAGAAGAAATTAAAACGTTTAGGCTAACAAGAGAAAAATTCTGGATTGACAAATTGAAAACAACAGCCCCCCTAGGTTTGAATATTCATACGGCTGGCGCAATAGCCCCTTTTGTAGTTCCATTTAGCGCAACAGCTGCAAGTGCATACAAAATCATCAGAAAACACTATACTGATCTCCAAGAAAATCACCCGAAAATATTCACACAGAAACTTATAATTGCATATTCTAAAAATACAAATCTGAACGACATCCTAGTGCACAGTAAATTAGATTAAATAAGACCAGTCTCCACCCTAACCCAAAACAAACCATATATCAAATCCTATCCCTAACCGTTAGTAAATAAAATCAACTAGATATAAGAATCCCTAGCTCTAACCCGGTGATGTGGAACAAACACGATTTTTTTTAGAAAATCCAATCCGTAGTAGGAAACACACTAAATTTATTTTCTTTTTTCTTCAGAAACAAAAATACCAGAATACCAGAAGCACCATCCAAGGAAGACCATCAGCGCCACCAACACCAAAAAACAGTGAAATCGCCTTTGTATATAAATGTAATGTATTGTATGTATTTTTAATAAAACTAGGAAATATCACGAACTAATTTTTCATCATCCTAGGTCAGTGCTTATGTGGAGACTTAAACTCTCCCCCAAATTCTTAAACCTAACCCCGGGATAGTGGAAAAAACTCATTTTTAGAAAATCCAATCCTTAGTAGGAAACACACTAATGTGGCTCTCACCCGAGAGCCTCAAATTTACTCTTTTTTCTTTAGAAACCAAAATACATGAAAACCACAAGGACACCGAAGGAAGACCATCATCGCCACCAACACCAAAAATCAGCGAAACCAACCATTTATATTAATCTATGTATTGCATGCATTTTTTTAATAAAACTAGGAAATGTCACGAACCAAACTTTCATCATCCTAGGTCAGTGCTTATGTGGAGACTTAACCTCTCCCCCATATTCTTAAACCTAACCTACAATCTCGCCAACAATCACGTGCACTAACCTTATTTACATCTCAGCGGCCTTGGCGAAAATTAAACTGACCTTAACAAATAGATTTAGCCGTGAATATGGGGTTAATGGAACTATCAAGACATGGATAAGGGACTTCTTAACTAATCGTAATATGCAAGTGGTGATAAATGGCGAAGCCTCTGACCCAGTCACAGTCGACTCCGGTGTCCCGCAAGGAACGGTAATGGGACCATTGCTTTGCGCTTTAATGCTACGAAATGCTATATTATGAGCATCAACCAGAAAAAATCCTATTACCATCAGCTATCAAGTCACATTCTTCAACAAGTCGTACTTAGGGGTCATATTATTTTCTGACGATCTGAAATGGGGTCCTCATATCACAAAAAAAAACAAGAAAGCTAACTGGGATATGAAATGAAATGGGGTTTAACGTCCTATTGTTCTGCTCCCAACTGGGTTAATGAAGACGGGCATAGGCCATACAGTGTGCTATGGGGGAAATTTTGCCCCATCCGAACGACTAGACAGCTGTCCTTGTCGTCAGGTTTCTCCGTCCTGCATCACTGACAAGGGGGATGACGCCGGAAAATCTGGATAAACTTTCTCGACCAATGCAGGGATCGAACACACGACCTCCAGGCTAGCGAACCAGCGTCTTACCCACTCAGCCACCGTGACCCCCCTACCTGGGATTCATCAGACGAAACTTAAACACTGCCCTGAATCATCCAGAAAGACGACATATCTTGCACTGGTTAGATCAACGCTGGAATACAGCTCTATAGTTTGGGATCCTATCCTTGCCAGAGACATCAACAAATTAGCGTCACTAGAATGCTGTAAGACTTAAAACTACCGTCACTTCAAGATCCATAGAAGGAAGATATCGATCAACCGACTGGCGTTTTTCTATAAGGTAATTAGGGGTGTGTGTACTCGGCACGGTTCGCACCAGCTATATGCTCTGTCATGACTTTTTGACACAGGCACTTGAAGGGATTAAAATAAAACTTCTTACTACTCTTTGACTACCTTATAACTGTGTTGGGCTAAAAGAACAACATAAAAAGAAATGGGGTTTTGTTGATGACACTGATGGAAGCAGATGTGTACATTGTGGTGCTAAATGTTTATCTGCAACAACCAGTGGAAGTGTCCATAGTTTTACCCCAAACAACATTAGTGAATCACCCAAAACGACCTGCATTTTACTTAAAACTACAATTTATGCTATAGTTTTTTACACTGGACTTTTTGTGGTTATAAAGATTAACTTTATCGTAATGTTAAAACAAATGTTATAGTCCAATCACGGGTTTAACATTAAAGAATTACTAGTCTGACACCACAATCACTATGACGACATTAAGAGTTGTCTTTCTTGTTTTATCTTCCAGAAATGTACGTTCAGACGCGTTATTATATGTTGATGTAATACTGCGACTTTAGTTTGTCATCTTAAACGTGATTAATATTTGGATAAATAAATATTAATAGGTTTGATTGCAAAGCTTAGTTTTATTATTGAATGTGTGGCGCTAATTATTAATATTATTTAAATGTCAATCTGTAGCCTACTAACTGTTCTGCAGGACATCTATTATATTATTACTATTATTAATATTAGGCTATAATTCTCAGAATCTTGAACAAGAAGATCATCGGCTGTGTCCAGAAAATGTGAAGACAGCAAAGAAGATAGGTCCAATTCAAATGTTTTTAGTGTGGCAGACAGGTTACCGTATAGCATCAAAACTACGGTACATAAATAGAAGTTGGCAGATTTGAATATGAATGAATGTAAACAGTTAAGGGGACTCGATTCTACATATATATATAGTCGTGAGCAAAGCTCCACAACAGCTGATGATACTAGCAGTGCATCTCATAAAGTAACAAATGTGGATGTTAGTTCTACATAGTTGAAGATGTCTGAAGCTAGTGCTGTGAATCGGTGTGTTTCAAAATCAATAGAAATTGCTGGTCAAAAGACAGATTTTATTTGTAATTTTGAGAGCCGTAAATCAGATTCAGTTTCTTCCTTAATGAGTAAAAGTTTGAATATGTTCCATTTGTTATATAAAACAAATTATGGAATGAAAATATCACCAAAACTAAAACATACCCTAACAAATCCAGTTGTTACTCAGCTGTGTCAGTTAAGAGTTTGTCGCTACATAACTCCATTTAATAGACGAACAACAGCACTGGAATGGCATCCATCAAATCCTAATCTGTTGGTAGTTGGATCCAAAGGAGGTGATATTATACTGTGTGACACTAGTACAGTTAAGAACGATAAATTGTTTGCAGGAGATGGAGAGAGGGGTTCTATTCAAGCCATGAAATTCTGGCCTTGGAATAATTCTTTTGTCTGCACTGCATCAGTTAATGGAACTGTAACACTGCACGATCTTGAAGGTCGTCAGAGTCAAATTCTATCAGGTACGAAGAATTCTATGGGTTTTTGGTATTCTTCGGTTGATGCCAGTTTATCTCATAGTGCCGTACTGACAGGTGACAATATAGGTTATATTGTATGTTTATCAGAAAAAGGACAAACGATTTGGAGTAAGAAATTACACAAGCAGAAAGTAACACATGTGGAGTTTTCACCTCGAGAAAATTGGTTATTTTGTTCAGCATCAGTTGATCATACTGTACGACTGTGGGACATCAGAATGATCAAGAATAACAAAAGTAGCCTCGCTGTTCTTCAACATAATAAGGGAGTTAACTCTGCCTATTTTAGCCTGACTAATGGCTGCCGTCTTTTGACCACAGATCAACACAGTGATATAAAAATATTTAGTGCCCCTGAATGGAGATTAGAAAGAACCATACACCATCCTCACCGATTCTTTGAAGATGTAACTCCAATAAAGGCATCATGGCATCCATTACAAGATCTAATTGTTGTCGGTCGTTATCCAGATCAGAATTTCCCTGGATATAAATCTGGGGAACGAAGAACCGTTGATATTTTTGATTCAGACTCAGGAGAGCTTGTCACGAAACTCTTAAAATTATATGGCTCGTCGGGAATAGTGTCTTTAAACAAATTTGACCACAGTGGAGAGGCACTGGCTTCAGGAATGGGTGATAATATTTTGATCTGGAATAGAGAAGAAGTCTTTGCTCAAAAACAGGAACGATTAAAAGACAAATGACAGATTTGAATCCAAAGCTTTGGGTTTAGTAAACAATGACCTGTCAAAAAAAAAAACTGATTCTAAAACCATGCTCAGTACAAATTCAAAGAATTTATCACAGAAAAGTAACACTAAAATAAAATTGAGCTTAAAGGTTTGGGAGATATTTGGGAATTTGTCCCAACAACTACTATGTTTAAACATTGATTTATGCAGGTGCAATACAGGTTATCCAGGTCAGATTAAGCTGGTGTAGGAACAATAGCATGTTACAAAGGAGACCTAAATTACAGAAATACATATAACAGGTGACCAACTCCTCATCATGTACAAGCGTGGAATCAAAACCAATCCACTTGACTCAATGACAGACTTTGTGATCTAATGTGCCTGCGTTTAACCATTCGGCCACTCAACCCTGCCCCGATTGGCTGGATTAATTATGAATCAAAATAATCATGTGCTTAGGGCATCATGGAAAGGGGGAGGGGTACACAGAATTTCTGCTTTGTTACATGGTGAATTCAAAATATTTAATTTAAAAGTTAATTAAGAACTTTCAATTAGTTTTTCATTGTTTTTGTCTTTTCTTACTGTTACTTTCTTTGTCTCAGTATATAATGAAGTGTATAAAACCTCAAATTAACTCTAACCTATACTATATACTATATGGAGGCACCAAAATCATCTAACTGCTTAAGTCCTCTATAGGTCTTAAGCCGGCACTAGCACAGCGCCGTTTAAAATGTAGGGCCGACAGCATATGACACTTTTGCTACTATGACGAAGAACGTCTGCTCATATTTACAACCATTTTATTTTTCATTTGCTACAGTCCTTTCCTGATGGACGAACTATGCTCTTAATGAACGTCTGTGCATTAAAGGGAGACTACTCTTCAAATTTATGAAATTTATTCCCTGTCCCCTAAAAAGATTAATAAATCATTTACTTTTTGAAAATTGATCTTTGTGACATAAACAATAGTAGATGAGTGATTTGTTTCTGAAAGATTTTCGTGGATTTAAAATGTGTGCAGTGTGAGAGTGATTAAATTGATCCTAACATTGTATGCAAGATGTGCATGTTGAGTCAGTGGTGTATCCTCCCCCCCTCCCAATTAGTGCTAAACGATAAGGCCAGCTCAATTTTTCGCGAAGGTCACAAGATATAAACAGGACTAGCGCTAATCCCAACCCTAACCCTGGACCTTGCCACAATGCTTACCCTTACCCTAAACTACCTTCTTGCCAACAATCACGTGCCCTAACCTTATTTACATCTCAGTGACCTTGACAAAAGTTGAGCTGGCCTTAACAAATAGATTTAGCCATATGTCCCCCCACCCTTTTACAGAAATCACTAATATACTAGCATGAGTCTATTCAGTGTCTGAACCTACTACCCTCCTAAGGGAAATAAAAAGTTTGTTCAATTCAGCACAGTCAAGTTGCCACACCGCAGAAAGTGTTGAATAGGGTGAACTGCCCCTTATACTGCTTGAGGTCTAATGTCAGGGCTAGTGCTGATGAGGGTTTTAATATTCTTTATTTCTTCACTCAGAAATGAAATTAAATGAGGTTTAACATCAAACTTTTTTCAGCACCAATCTGGCTATTGAAGACATGGATATATTATACTCCATGCATTGCACAATGACATCAGCATTCCTACCAACAATTCATCAGATTCTGACTATCAAGCAGTCTTTTACATGCACCCGCAGTTGTACACAGGACCTTAATTTCTTGTACCGTCCTAACAACTAGATTCTGTTCATTGCCAGGCCTTCCATTCTGCACCACTGACAAGAGGACATCACTCTGTCTTGCACCACTGACAAGGGACATCATTCCGTCCTGCACCACTGACAAGGGGACATCACTCTCTGCTGCACCACTGACAAGGGGAAACCAGGCTGAAAAATCCTGAGGAAATATCTTGTATCGAAGTCTAAATCCCCTGGTCAGTCAGCCAACCCCTTATTACTACTCCTTTTCGTGTTTGAAGTGTGTATAGACACAATTAATGAAATGAAATGGGGTTTATTTTCCTACTGTTCTGCTCCAATATGCTACGAGGGAAATTTTGCTTGGACAGCGGTGCCACAGCCTCCTCTTATATCAAATTCCAACTTCCAAGGGATCTTTTATGTGCACACCAATGTGTACATGGGACCTAGTCCTGCATCACTGACAAGGGGGAAACCATGGCAATCAAACCATACCAGGAAATCCCAATGAACTTTCTCGTCCAACGTCACAATTAATGTTTGGCGGTGAGTGATAATAAATCAGAAGGATAAATAGATAAATTTTGAGAAAGAGACAGAGAGATTACCAACACAAAAAGGTCATTTTGGGACTAACATATGGTTCAATTTTATTTCAATCATTCGCTTGCTCGTAGGGGTCTTTAGCTGTGGGAGGAAACCGGCGACCCTTCTCCTTGTCACGTACAATCAGGTAATCAAAACCACGCCAGTTGACTCTATGACAGACCTTATGATGCAACGTGCACGCACTAACCATCCAAACCCCCCAATAAATTTTAGAAAAAAAACCAGCACTATAAATCTTTGTAAATAACCTTTATTATACTTTTTTTTATATAAATCTTGGATAATAATAATTGACTGAAACAATGTATTAATAGATATATTCTATAATATAGCCGTAATAATAAAATGACGGGTAGAAGCCTTGATATCTTTTTATCTATGTATATATACTGTACAATTAATCATTTCTACTAAATATGAATAACAATGATCAAGTATATAAGATAAGTCTACAATATGTACAAGCTGGCATTTTAACACAGAAAATTAAATGGAAAAAAAAAAATATTAAAATGAATTAAACTATGCCATTGGATTTTGATCATTGACTTTGAAAATATACATACAAGTTTCCAAGCCCACTTGGAGTTCATTTCACATGCTATTTGATCTTTTAGAGGCATTTAGTAACTGGATACAGTAATAATCTAAACATATATTTATGGAAAACATCTGTTGAGAAGATGGAGAGACTCGTCAATATGTCCCCAAAATAAATCAGTAGCTGTTTTCCATATCATATTTGTTGCATACGAATTAGTCTTAATGTTTTCGGTTAATACCTATAAAAGAAAAAGACTTCTATATTGGTACTTTTTTTGGACTCATAAGCAGAAAACCCAGCTACAAATCTATTCAAGTTAATATTCTAAATAACTCAAGTCGTAACAATTTTCATGTGAATAATAATATTACACCATTTGTCAGGTTTTCAACATACAAAACAGATATATATATATATACCGGTATACAAATTTACATGTAGGGCCTATAATTAATTTAAAGCTGATTTTGTCATGACCCTCCTGGTAGCCATTGCACGGAAATTACCACACAGCTTCTGTTTCAGAATCCAAACTACTGACCAATATAAGCAGTGACGGTGGATATTATTGTTATATCCGTATACCTGACACGACTTCTTATTTATTTGGAAAGTTCTTACCTGGGATTTAACTTTAACATTTCACCTGAAGGCAGACGATCAATTTATGATGTATGTTGTTGACTTTGGATAATTTATTTTTCCAAAGAAGGACAATTTTTTTATTTATTTTCAAGTGTTTTTATGCATAAAAACTGCAAAATGACTGACAGATTTTTCCACTACAAATTGACAGTCAAGACTTATCCAGTCCGTTTCACTGCCAGTCAGTCAAGACTTGTTAAAATAATTGGAATGAGCACACTGATGGTAAATTTCCATTTAGTTTTGTATGCAGTTCAGAAAGGATTTTAAGAACATCATCTTTATGGATCGTCATCACAAAAATATTTTTCTTAGCTGACAAATCAATAGAATTGCTTTTATTTTTGCATATATATTTTTTTTTTAAATGGCTGGGAAATATTTTTATATATTGTTTCTTGGACTTTTAAATTTAAATTCCATTAAAAGTAATGGTATTGATACAGCCAAAATTTTCTTTAAAAAAAGTTTGAATCCCTAGATAACTTTACTTCTATTTAGATGCTGTTATATTGAGCTGCTAATTTCAGGAGAGCTAGATGATTTAATACCAATTTGCATAGGGGAAACCATACAAAATAATGTGCAACCAATAAAGGCCAAACTACCAAATGATAATAACCATATGCAATATACAATTATGGACAATAATACATATAATCTTATATACAATAATAATAGCGTAGTTGTATACTACATGTCCTATATTCTGAATATGATTGTCCAATCCTCTGTAAATCAAATGACGAAGCGCTACAAAGGCTTGTGCTATCTTTCTTCAACAATCAAAACCAAATGAAATGGGCTTTAACGTCCTTCTGTTCTGCTCCGACTGGGCTAATGAGGACGAGCATATGCCATACAGTGTGCAATGAGGGAAATTTTGCCCAGGCAGTGGCACTATGGCCTACTCTTATATCGAATTCCAACTGTCAAGGGATCTCCAAGAATCAAAACTATATGATAAGAAATTTACATAGCTTCAAACAGAAACATAAGCGAAACCAAGTAAACTAGGCTACAAATAATTGGTATCTGTGTTATAAGATGTTTTCTTTGGATTTGAATATCTCTGCGGAAGATCATACACAGAACATGTGACATGTAGCAGTACTGTAGTTAGAATTCACATTAAAAGGAAGACAGAATACACTGTATAAATAAAAACTTGTTTAAAAACTTATATTAATTTGGAGATATTAACATAATGAGTAAAAATAGTAACAATCAAGAAATTTGTTATGAATCACCAGAAAGAATGATAACATTACTACTGTTTGATGTTCCATATAATAATGACAAAACAACTCCTTTGGTCGATAAATAAGGCCATGCTGAATAAATGACGCTTTCCAGCCAAATCTTTTCTTTTAAAGAAAGACCTTCATTGAACTCAATAAGCTCCCACATCCCATTTGTATACTGTTTGAATGGCATTTAGTAATAAAACACATTAAAATAAACACAACAGTTCTATGGATAACAATTACTGTATTTCTATTAAAGTTATGTTTCAACAATGATTCTCTTGTCGTTGTCAAGCACAATACTGATACAGACACATGCGTCCCTGGAATTTTACATCCACTTCCCCAAGGCCGATATCGTAGACTATGATACAGACAGAAGGAACGAAATATTTATACTATGTACAATCTAAACATTCAATGAAATCATTCAATTAGGAGCTTTAATAGAAATACAGTAATTGTTTGTTATCCATAAAACTGTTGGGTTTATCCTACATCTCATTTGATTGTAACTTGTGTCATGATAAAACTAATGGCAGCTTACTATATGGTAACCAACGGCAACTAAGAAACCGATTTCAATTTAGAATCGGTTCTTAAAGACTTTTTATGATGGTTATATTGATCAAGGTTGAAGCCTAAGTGCATGTTATATGATTTCTGAAAAACTGATAAATTATTTAATACAGGTCATTAATTTGTAATAATAAAAATATGATATATTAACAAATGTTAAATTATCCATAAACACAAAAACGACAAAAAAAAAAGAGAACAACCAGTGATCAATCAAATAACTTTTAAAACGAACTGCCATTTAAAACAAATTAAACATTTTTAAAAAAGTCCAACTTAATTTTATTGTTTCATAAGTAGGCTATAAAATTTGTATTTATTTCAAGGCAAAATGTTTTCCTATTATTAGAATAAGAGAATTTTTTTTTTATGTCTTACTATAATTCAAATGATAAAATCTCAATGCAAACTATTTTCCAATTTGTGTAAGAGTCGTAGATTATATCATTCTGTATCTGTATACTAGATACTATTCTACAAAATTATTCCAACCTAAGGATATATTTTTATTTAAGGTAAATCTATCATTACTATTATTAGCACAAGAGCCACAGGTTATGTTAGTCTATATTCTAAAAGTTCTAGAATAACAATTTTAATCTAAAATAAAGAATTATTATAGATTTCAAGGCAATATATTTTCAAAATATAAGCCTAAAGTAAGGTTATACTATTTTTGAATTTTCACTGATACTAGAAAGATAGATATGAATATAATAAACTAAAAAATATAAAACCTTTTTTTCATGTTCTAGGATGACATTTTTATTCTAATAATAAGGATATATTATAGATTTCAAGGCAATATATTTTCAAAATATTCGCCATACATAAGGTTATGATATTTTAAAACTGTTCATTGATATTATAAAGATTATGTTATTTCTATACTAGGGATATGTACTGAATACAATAAACAAACAAAAAAAATAAAAAAAATTTATTTTCAAATTAGGAATTATTATAGATATCATCAAGGCAATATATTTTCAAAATATGCGCGTAAAATAAGATTATTCTATTTCAAAATTTTCATTGATAATGTTATTCTATACTAAAGATATGTACTAAAAACAATAAACGGAAAAATATAAAACCTTATAATATTTTACCATAACAATAGAATATAAAGATTTCATTCATTAATAATTACACGCTAAATATACATGTACTAAATCATATTTCAAAATTATTTACAATATTACTTGGAATGCTAGAAGGTAGTTCGAATTACAATTATTTAATGGCACATAAAAGTATTCTTTGTTCTAACTTAATAACTGAGCAAAAGTTTAAGATACATCTTGAATAATAATACTCATAGTTCATTATATACATGTACATATAACAGATTAAAATCGGATTATAAATATACATTGGTTAGTGAGACACTCACTTAACTGATCAAAAAGCAGATTGAAAGAAAAACAAAAATCACAACCCTTGCCATAGTTAAAATCACAGCACATATATATCGGAGTAATTAATCTGTTCTAGTTGATGCTGATGTCTGACAGTTCATAGTTGTCCGTGTCATGCATGCAATCGTCACATTGTATAGTTTAAAAAAAATGGCAGTAGAAATTTAGGCCAACACACAATAGAATAGGAGGGATTTTGCAACAGTGGCAAATCTGTTCTCCAAACTTGATATTTCTTTTCCCAAATTCATCATTTCTGGACTAAAGGTGGGTGGGTACACCAAGCCCATAGCACATCCCTCGTTAGCAACACTACTGCCTACACAATAGGTGTATTAATTAACATCAGAATTAATATGTTTTTGTTACTTATGTTCAGATAAAAGCGTGACAATCAATGATAAAGTCTGTTTCTTCTATCAAATAACAACCAATGATCAAGTCTGTATTATCAAGTAAACAGCCAATGAAAAATTCTGTATCATCAAATCATCAAGATATGACGTTCATTATAACTTGTCCTTTAGCATTTTTCAAAATATTTACAGCTTCTTCATGCGTAACACCGTCCAAATTTTGTCCGTTAACGGTCAGAATTTGATCGCCGCGTTGAAGTTGGCCGTCATCCGCAGCAGCACCTTTAGTAAAGACATTTTTAACGTAAATTGGTAAATCTCCATGAGGACTACCATAACCTCCAACAATAGAGAAACCAAGACCATCAGCACCACGAGTAAGAATTATCTTTTTATATTGAGGAGGTTGACTGAAATATTAAACAAAGATTTTATTAAAAGAATTCAAGAAGGGTTATCTAATATTTCTTTCATAGATGAGTAATAAATGCAATAGGTGTTGACATATAAACATTGACTTTTATCGTCTGCTAGTTAACCCTCTCTGGGTGTGTATCACTGGACATGAGCACTGATGAGACAGGCCTCTAGCTGCACATGTACTGCAGTACACGCTGCAGCCATTCTTTGTTTTATCTTTATGTGTGTGACATCGTTTGTCTCCATCATACTTCATGTTTTTACTCAATGTAAATAAAGTTTACTTAAGAAGATGGCTAGACTATATTACTTTAACAATAGGTATAACGTCCTACTTTTCTGAAACCAACTGAGCCAACGAAGACAGGCACACACCATGCTCTGTGGTACAAGTTTTTACCTACTCTTTGATGAATTCCACCTGTCAAGGGTTACATGCATGCCAAAGGGTACACAGGGCCTTTGTTTTTCTTGCCATCAAAACAACTAGCCACTGGCCAAATGTACTTTCATCTGGAATTCCAGAAATTTGGACCCAATCCTGATCATGCAAGTATGACAACTCATACCACTTTTATGTTGTCAACATAAGGGTGTCAGTGAAAGCTATACACTTTCAATTGCTTCAAATCATTTTATCACGATGGATGAATTTTTAGTAAAAATTTAAATTTTAAAGAAAGATAATGATTTTGTACCTTTCAGCATCAGCTTCTCCTGTTTTAACAGCTGCTGAATTTGCTCCTTGTTGTGACGTATCTATACTGACTTGTTGGGATATATCCATACTGACTTGTTTAGATTTATGACCATTTACACTTACAGTCATTTCTTCTCCTATAAATAAAAAAAAATAGATTTATTACATACACCAAGAAGGGAGAGAGAGAGAGGGAGAGAGAGAGAGATTTAAAGTTCACTCAACACAAAGTAGGTCATTTTGGGACTAACATATCCACGAGGTTGGATATTAAATAAGGATTACATCATTAGCAATGTTAGGATTTTACTCAGTCTGTGATGCTTCTGTCTGCTGCGCTTATATGCTAACAAGTCATTTGGATGGGACAAAAAAATGAGGACCCGGCAGCTGAAATTCGATATAAGAGTTAGCCATAGTGCCACTGCCTGGGCAAAATTTCCTTCATAGTACACTGTATGGTGTATGCCCGTCTCCATTAGCCCAGTCGCAGCAGAACAGTAGGACGTTAAACCCCATTTCATTTCAATTCATATGCTAACACTCTCCTTCAAAATTAAAGATGGTAATGAAAACAGAATCAAATGTCCTAATCAAGTGATTTAGGAGACCCAAAAATATGGATGAAATCTTCTCAAAATCCTGAACTCAAGCAATCAAAGTTTGATTCAAAATTGAATCTCACTTAAAATTTTGATTTGATGATAAAGTCATCCAAGAATATAACTGTTTTTACCTTGAAGAACCTGAAGTTTAAGTTCTGTGGAAGACTTGAGTATATGAACAGCTGTATCATGTGTCATACCATCAGTAGAATCACCATTTATCATTAATATTTTATCACCTGTCTGTAAAACACATTCAAATATATCAAAACTTACATGTTTCAGTGTTCATATTTATAACTGTCTCCTGTAAACTGTTAGCGCTTTGAGCAAACAATACTGTTTGGAGTCCAGCGCTTTATAAGAACCTTATTATTATTATTATTAAATAATATATGCATCAATCACTCCTTTGGTGTTTACTCCTGGTAATCTAAACCATGCCACTTGATTCAATAGCAGACCTTATGATCTAAAGTGTTGCATGCCTTCCTTAGACCATATATGGCCACCCATTTCTGACTGAGATACACATTAAGTAAATGGGCATTGTCTTTCACCAGTTCTGGATCTAATCCATATAAAACTTTGAGATATCTTGTCAAAAAGTTAAAACCAGAATCACAGGGATGCTGTCATCCCAAACTTAGGCTGCCTGTCTACAGCTAGCTCTGCCTGTATTCTCAATGTATGACTAAGATGGATCACTGCGTGCAGTATGGGATGCTGTCTCAAATTGTTTACTGTCTAATAATGGAGCATAACTCTTATGGTCATTTAATCAGATGGATTCAGACCACAATGTAAAATCCTGTTTCAAGAAGATATTAAAATTCATACGTAATAAAAACAACAATCTTAACTACTTTCTTCTGGCAGAAGGTTTCACTGACAGATCTAAAAAGAAGGACACTTACCCTAAGTTTCCCTGTTTTTGCTGCTGGTCCGTTAGGGTTTAAGTTAGCGATAACAATAGGTACATCACCCATAGGACTGCCTACACCACCAGCAATACTTAAACCTAATGATCCACTTTCATCGTGTTTTATTTCCACTATTCTTAAACCAGTATCTTCACTACCAGCAGATGCCGTCCCTAATTAAATAAATGATTAATTAATTAAACTAGGGGTTCACCGTAGTGCAAATTATAACCTGCTTTATTGTCATGTCCAAGTCAAGCCCCTATACAAAAACATTCATATCAAAATTTAATTTAATAAACGAACTTTGTTTAAACCTTGCATCACTGATCTACTCTTAGCAAATGCTGGGGGGCAAACCCACCATACAAAACTTTAACATCAACCACAGTCAATTCATAATAGAATAGAATCAACAAACCCAGGCAATCATCAAAAAGACAGAATCCAAAACCAAATAAATATTTTTGTGGATGCCATAGCAAGGTGGTGAAGGGGTTACACAGTCAAGATCCCCCGAATTCAGAAGTGATGGATTAGGATATTAGTCTTCAACACTCCAGCCCCCCAAAAACCCAGATGACTTGCACAAACAGTGTCAACTGTCATCATACAAAGATCTATTGAGTGGTTGAGAATGACCATTACCTTGCATTGGATGGACTGGTGATTGAGATAATATTTTTCATGAAAGTCCACATAATGCTAGGTTCCCACTGTCATGCAATGCCTTACAACAGGATTGTTCCTATTGAGTCCATGATGTGATATGTGCAGATAAGTTCGAATACGTTTCAATACAATCAACACGATTGCTACGACTGACCTCAATATATGACAAGATCTGATAGGATCACCACCATTACTCAACGATTAAACCCATGATTTGAATCGTAGCGTGATTCGGGATAGTGGGAACCTATCATAAATATCCAGCCAGTTAGCACAAAAATGTTATTTTGTCCAGACCTACAATCTGAGAGCCACAATCGTCCAGTGAGTAAGACGTTGTCTGGCTAACCAGGAGGTCCTGTCTTTGACCCCTGACTTGGCCGAGTGGTGAAGCACAGAGGACCTGGCAAAAAAACAATGTATAGTCATTCGGATGGGATGAAAAAACAAGGTCCTGTGTACACATTAGCATGCATGTAAAAGATCCCTTGACAGTTGGAATTTGATATAAGAGTAGGCTGTAGTGCTGCTGTCTGGGCAAAATTTTTCTAATAGCACTTTGTATGGTGTATGCATTAGCCCAGTCAGCGCAAAACAGTAGGATAATCTAGACTGGTGTGATCGACAACAGAGAAGAGAGAGTGAAATGGGGTTTAACGTCCACTTGACACAAACAAGGTCATTTTGGGACTAACATATGGTTCATTTTTATTTCTTTAGCAGTGGGAGGAAACCAGGGGACCCAGAGAAAAAACCCAAAAGGTTGGACAGACGACCCTATTCCTTGTCACATACAACCAGGGAATCGAAACCATGCCAGTTGACGAGAACAGCGAAACCTAGTTCGTCCTGGTTATAAATCACATAACAAATGCGAATTGTAAATATCTATATAACTTCACACCATGCTGTTGATAAAATAACTGGGAAACATTCACAGTACATGAGCAGACATTTCGCTTTTATAAAACAAATAACTAAACCAGACAAAAAACAAAGTGCTCAAATACATTGAGGGAAAACTATATCATGCATTTTTTTTCTCTAAATCAGTAATATTTATGTCTATCAATTAATCAGTTAGAGGACAAGGGAGCTGTATACTTCACTCGTCTAAGCAAGTAAAATAAGAAATAAACAGACTGGTATATATGAATAATAATAGAAATGAAAAAGTTAACCAAGATTTCAAGTCCTTAGAATGCACAGTAAAGTTTAGAATATTCCCTTTAGTACCAAATTAAAGACTAATTAATAATTTCGTTTTTAAATTACTCTTAAACTTGCATCAAAATTTGCACTTACAATCAGTAACTCAACACTATATAAACTTCTGAATATGCATCAACGAGTGTTTGGTTATTTGTCTCTATGATGGACAAAACTGATTTATAACATGGATATTTCTGATTGATGCTATTACTATTAATAAGTTAACACAAGGTACAATTTCATGGATACACAATTACTGAGTTTAATACTAAGCGACATTTCGACAAGGATACTCTCGTCTTTATCAAGCAAACGTAGCTTAGTATTAAACTCGGTAATTTTGTATCCATGAAAACTGTACCTTGTGTCAATATGTTCAATTACTAAATGCCAATCAAAGAAGATATTAATAAGTTATTTAGATTTCTTATTATTCATTAATATCTATTCATTTTTCCTTTTATAGGCTGAGAAATAAGTTTGGAAAAGGGTTCAGTGAATTGTCTGTGATATTATGAATAAAAATCCCTTCAGAACAATTTTAATACAGGTTTTTCTTTTGCTGTTATTTTTCATATATTCAAAAGGGACATTATGAAAGATCCAGATAAAGTTAATTCAAAATGAATATATTGAAAATTTCATTCAAATTACTTTTTTTTTTAGCAAAGTTATCAATGGTTGTAGTTTTGACAAGGTGTGCATTGATCGTAACTACCGTACTGCTCATTTGAGTCTATAGCCTCACTTCTGCATTTTTAAATTAATTCATTAAACTGGCGAACCATTCTAATCCACTTAAAACGTAAAATCTCAAGCACTGTAGCCTCAATTGTCATTGTTGCGATAATAAACAAAGTCTTGATTATCCATTTTTATATTGCAGATCAGATTCAAAACTGTTTAAAATCATATTCATCAGATGGCATCAAATTTATGGTCTGGATAAGTTAATTAATGTCTAATTAATAATTTAGATAACATTAAAGACCTAAAGAAAGACCTGCAATAGGCAGATTTAGCTCTTGCATAATGTATGTTTAATATGCCGATCATATCAACTGAGGACAACTGAGAGCAACTGAATTCAGAGCGCTTATGTTGACTCGGAACTGATAGCGATTACACTTAACACGTGACTGTTAATTTATTCATCATATGATCAACAAAATGGAGAATCACTTCGAAGAAGCGCCCAAAGGCATGGCCGGTCTTGCCACAATTGTATTAATATATTATCGCTACCATTTGTTTATTTACAAAATCACATGATACATTTCTCTAATCACGTGATGTTATTTCCATGGAAACGAATTGACACCAGTTGTAAGACCGCTCATGTTGACTGCAACTAGTTGACACCAGTTGCATAAAGTTGAACATGTGCAACTGACTGCCTTTAGTTGCTCTGAGTTGTAAGAGGCACTCAGGTCGACCTTTCTCAGTTGCATTCAGTTGCTTTCATTTGCTCCCAGTTGCTGAAAAAGGGAAGTTGCTTTCAGTTGCAAGGTCGACATAAGCCCCCTTTAAGGCTTGTTTCAAGAAACATGTATCATTGCAGGCTACAGTTAATTTAATAATAATTTCAGCACGTTATATACCGGTAGGTTCATATTGTTTTTCTGGCAGACTTTATAGCACAGAGTAAACATGCTTTTTAAGATACACGACCAATAAATAAACATTATTTTAAAACTTGATTTATATATTAAATTTAATATTTAAACTTTTCATCAACGAAACAAAGAAAGACCAAAATGTTCCAATCCTGTACATGCATTCCACTTAAAATGAATCTTAAAAACATCAATGATATTAAATTTCAATTATTTTTAAAAAAAAACTGAATTCCATATATTCAATAATGAAAAAAAAAGAGAGACCAAAATTTCCCATTTTGATAAACAATATAATTGATATAAAAGAACATGTAATATAATTTCCTTTGCATTGGGTAGGGGGAATCATGCAGGAAGGAAAAGAATATGAAAAAAAATGCAGCATGCAAATAATCCCGAAATGTTTCTAACCTCTTATTTTATAAATCGCCCTTACCTATAAAGCTACTAACCATTTCCACATGTAAATGTACCGTATTTAAAATCTAAGAACCAATTTGTAAAAAAAATTCTTTGTTGATGTTTTTTTTTTTTAAGATACTTAATGGTCAATGCCTGCATTCTTTTTCAAAATGCAAATTGTAAAATCCATTTTTACTTCCCAATCAATCAAATTAAAATATTCTAAATTACGTACTAATGGTGAAATAAAATAATATATTAAAAAAATAATATATTAAAAAAACAATCTTATCTAACAAAGTTATCTAAAGGGTTAGTTTTTTACATCCTGCTAAATTAAAGACTACAGCAAACCTGAAAATCTGATTCAACTTCCCATGTATTGGTACTTTTGTATTTAAAAATGTCTAATAAATTTAGGGGTTTAGTTGGTTTGTACAGGTGTGTTCAAATCAGATCATACAAAAGTTATGAGACATTGAATTTCACTGAGTTTACCAATGCCTGTCATATTTCTGACATAAAGTGAGTCTATTTGCAATTGGTTACATTTATTTTCATGGAAACATTGCGAATACTACATTTATTTTAAAACTGGATGTTACAAGACAAATATGGTTCTCATTTGAGTTAACCAGAGAAAAACCCACGAGGTTGGACAGGTGACCTTTCTCCACGTCAAATATAGGCAGGGAATTGAAACCACACAACTTGACTCAATGAGTGACGTGCTGATCTAACGTGCACAACCAATCCCCAAACAACATGGGACTTTCAATTGAGTCTACTAGAATAGAATGTCAGTTTAATTGGCTTGATTATGTCAGGCATTTGTTTAACAGAAAACCTGAATGAAATAATGTTTGGACCAACATGGTTTTTTTTATTAAGGATACTGTGGAATGAATAAAGATCTTTGACGTTTATTCTGGCTTAATGGAGATTTTAAACAACAAAGTTAAGGCTAAATCAATTTGACTTTAAAGTTTTTCCAGGTCTTGATATATAACCTGACGCGAGCTGGGATTTCTTTTGTTTTTTAAATTGATTCTTTGGAAAGAGCAATCAAGTATTTTTGTTTAATTCTTTTTTTCTTCCAGGAAATTTAAAGAAAAGGTCTATAGGTGTTCCTTCAGAAGTAAAATTCAAACTTGTTTGGCTCAAGTTATTGCTTCAGCTTCTTTCTGAAACTGCCAATATGTAGTGCTTGCTTATACTACAGAAAAAAATCATGCCATAATTTCCTAACTATCCGAAGATCTATTGAATAAATGCTATTATTTCTAATGGCTGTAGACATTTAATCATAGCTTTCAAATTGAATAGATTATACAACTAGTTCCAGTATGGTTAATGGATTTGTGTGAATTTGTGAAAGATTTGGAGGTCTATATCTCAATCCATTAATTCTGTACATATAACAATAGTAACATCAAACCTACGGGCAAAATTTAAAATAGCACTGGATTTCAAAACAATATTTTATAATCATATGGAATGAGATTTTTTTAAGGTTAGAATGAGGCCTCAACAGTACACAACAATACTTTTACTTCATACAAAAATACTGAAAACACACTTCGTTTCAATACAATATATACAGTAACATGAATAGTTTTACTGGAAGAAATGGATTTTACAAGTCAGAGGTGCCCAAATAAATTCATAAATATAATTAACTAAAAAAGAAATAAAACCAAAAAATGAAGAAAAAAATAAAGAATAGGGGTGAAAAGGGGGCTAGTAGCTTTTGGAGGAGGGCAGACCTGTGAAAAAAGCAAAGAAAAGGTATTGAGAATTTAAGACATTATTTTAAAAAATATTGTGGATGTGATATTTAAATAAATTGACAGAAGATTAAGACATGTACATGTAATTAGAATTAGTATGAATCTGTTGAGATTAAACGTCACAGGCCCATAGCTAGCTGGGAAGGGGGAGGGGTGGGGCAATGGGTTGCCCCCCTGGAAAAAATGGTGCACATATCAGTCTGGGCACCCCATAAAGCCGAGTGACATTGGTTTGGTGCCTCATAATGAATCACACAATTAACACCACGATTTGATTGATGGGACACCCAAAACGTGTACCACCCACGACGAGATCATGGACGCCCATAATATGATTGGTGGGGCACCCATAATGCCGAGTGAGACTGATTAGGCACCCACGAATGAATTCGTATTCCTACCTTCAAATTTTAAGGATGTTCATATCAAAATATCATAATATGCCAATATCGCAAATTCAGCCTCAAAATTGAAATTTTTCGTCATTTTCATAGGTGCAAACCCTATTTTCCAAAATTTTCTGAGGGAAGAGCACCCTACTCCCTTCTCAGAAGGGAGGCGCATCCACGATCCCGTTTGCCATGGACCGTCTAGTGTAGGTACATCGGCACCCCCAGAAACCCTTGCCCTCCACCCACAACATTTTTGGGCTAGGTACGAGCCTGCATCACCAACATATTTTGGAAGTGACATGTTATATTGTTTTCTTTATTAAATCACTTGTAGACTAGTATAATTATCCTGCACAGAAGATGGCCAGATCACATCTTTGACTTACTTTGCTCCACCCGCAATCTTTAGAGTGGAACTCGCAAGGCAAGCGAAAGCGAGGATTTTTAGTAACAACCTGGATAAAATACCTGAACCAACCAAAGAAAGCAGCTTTGAACCGTAATTAATAGAAATCTACTGTACAAAGGCCTTATATACAAGGATTACAGGTCACCGGAAAAACTTCAAATGTTTTCTAAATAATGCAAGTGGTTATGTCAACATATCCTTTCCATAAGTATAACAATAATCCCAAATGTCAATGCTACCTGCCGCAGGTAAATTGCAGGTAAATTTCAACGTTTTCTGCTATTCTCCGTGAGTAGTCGTAATTTTCTATCAATAAACAATCCATGACGTCATTTTAGTCCTTCTTCTCATATTCTAATCTATATTTCTATGAGCAGAAACTACCCACAGAGAACGGTGGAAATTACTAACATTGAAATTTACCTGTTGTAGGTAATATTGACATTCGGGTTAGTGTTATACTTATGGAAAGGATATGTTGACATAATTACTTGCATTATTGAAAAAATTTATGAAGCTTTTCCGGTGACCTATAAAGAAGAGGAGACTAGTATCTTTAGAGAGAAAACCCATCTGGTTAGGAAAATGACCCTACTCCTTGGCAAATATACAATGATTGGGTGAGTGAAATGACCTAATCTACAAATTCTAATTCAACTCGATGTACATGTTTATTATTTAATGAAGAGAAAAAATCCATTTCTTTTACAAACAATTATTTCTCGTTATCTCCCCTTCCCCGCCATTTCTACATTTAAAATAACAATAGTTAATTATTATAGTTAATAAAAATATCGAATATCTCACTTTTTGTATGTTTTCCTCGTGATCGACTGCTAGCAGTGGATTCGGATTTCTTTAGAGCATGGCCAGGTGAATTGGAATTTCTTCTCGATGAAGTACGTGAACCTGCTTTTAATCTACCAACTGTCATTGAAACTTTTCCCATTAAAGTCTAAAAATTAAGAGAAAAAGAATTAAATATATGCAATGTAGAGTGGGATGACAGGTTCAAGTCAACAACGAAACATTGGGGTTAAAAATGGGGACTATTGGTTTCGAACACCATCACATTACCTGTGTTATAACTTCTGCCACAACTGTGTGTTCTACCAGTCACAATGTGTGTTTAACTAGGTAGGTGAGGATTGTTACGAGTGTAATCATTGAGAAATAAAATTAAACGTCCTACTGTTCTGCCCCGACTGGGCTAATGAAGACAGGCATACGCCATACAGCGTGCTATGAAGGATATTTTACCCATAGAGATGTGCAACGGCCTACTCTTATATCAAATTCCAACTGCCAAGGGATCTTTTATGTGCACTCCAATGTATACACAGGACCTCAGTTTTTCGTCCCATCCAAATGACTAGAAAGTTGTGTTTGGCACTGACAAGGGGAACCACGTTGGAAAATCCTGATGAACTTTTTCAGCCAATGCAGGGATCGAACACGGGACCTCCAGGCTAGTGAGCTAGTGTCTTACCACTCGCCCACCGTGGCTCCCAAAGAATAAAAACTGTATAAACGATGGATAATTTACCTTTAAAACACCTGCTGCATATTCTTGTGTTGAATTTCTCATATCTTCTAAATTTACAGCTAAAATTTGATCCCCTTGCATTAATCTACCGTCAGTTTCAGCTACACCACCTTTCACCTGTAAAATTAATATCTTGTTTAAAACACAAGGCTGGGATTTATTTCTTCAAATTTTATGAACAGCTGATAGTTTTTAAATCAATATGATCAAGGAATAATTCTCAGCATTTTCAAGTCAAACATATATTTTTATTTCTATATCATTATGAGAATTTTGACCGAATAACACCATTTAGCCGTAATCTTCACTAATTTCCAACTGTTAAGGGTTCTTTTACGTGCATGCTAATAATTTGCTTGAGCATAGGGGTCGTTAGCAGTAGAAAACTCAAGAGGTAGGATGAACATTATATAAAACCGAGAGAGAGAGAGAGAGAGAGAGAGAGAGAGAAATGGGGTTTAACATCCACTTGACACAAACTAGGGCATTTCGGGACTAATTAGAAGTTATAGGAAACCAGATGATCCGGAGAAAACCCACGATGTTGGCCATGCGACCATATTCCTTGTCACATACAACTTGGGAATCGAAAACACGCCACTTGACTCAATGACAGACTTTTTAATACAAGGTGCACATGTTAACCATTCAGCCACTCAATGACAGACTTTGATACAGCCACATATGCTAACCATTCCGCCATCCACCCCTCCCCTACCTGGAGAAAAACCATGAGGTTGGATGAATATTATATAAAACAGACTTACTATATCTGATATGTAGACTCCAACATCATTCTTTTTACCAACGATACTTAATCCTAATCCTTTACCTGGTCGTTTCATCAAATCTACGGTAAATATATCGTAAATATCTTCCTCACGTACTTGATTATCATCACGATATATAACCATACCAACTCTAGCCGGTGTTTGACGTAATACTTGTATTGCATGATCATGAGTTGCGTCCCTTAGATCTTCATTATTTACCTGTAAATAGCACAGAGTTTAATCCAGAGTAAGTAATACAATACATTTCATACAGGGGAGATAATACAATCTGTCAACTCTCTTTATCTGAGTCAGTATAATGTGGTTTAAAGATCTACTGTTCTACTCCGACTAGGTTAATGAAGATGGGCATACAAAATTCCTACTGTTCTGCTCCAACTGGACTAATGAAGATAGGCTATTCAACATCAGCTAAGAGCCAGTCGTAGGAATCTTTGATATTAATATGAATATTAACAGATTCATCACTAATATACATAATCACTCATAAATAAAATCAAATTTCATATCAAAATGAAATAAGGAAGGAACCTTCTAGCATAAAGTCAGTGGTAGTGTGTGGGGTGTATGCATGTTTGTGTGAAATAGCTTTATTTAACATCCGCTTCCACCAAGGTGATATCGCAGACAAGGAGTGTGTAGGGTTGATATTTTAATAAATATACTGACCTCTAAAACCTGATCACCAGCTACTAATCTTCCATCTCTAGCAGCAGCACCATCATCATATACTTCATGGATTATAATAGCTCCCTGTAAATATTCATTAAACAGTTAGCTCAAATATACAATCATTATTTATTCCATTAACGGACATTGCTCATTTTACAGAGGAACAGACATTTCCTGGTTGATATCATTCATTATTTTTACTTGAAGGATCACTTGAAGGATCACTGTAATCCAAAAACTAATCATTTGACGAAATATCACAATCACAGAAAAGAATGTGCTCTAAGAAAGCCTAAATATTGTCATCGATTGCTTCTATTAATCATATATTATGCAAGAGCTAAATCTGCCTATTGCAGATCTTTCTTTAGGCCTGAAATGTTATCTAAATTATTAATTAGACATTAATTAACCTATCCAGACCATAATCAACTCTCGATGTCATCGCTAGGTTGCGATATTTACTGGATTTGAATACATTTTGTGATGGATGATTTAAAGTCAAAATGGATAATGGAGATTTTGTTTTTTATTGTACTGTAGCTAGGCTTAAAATTCCATCGCTAGTATTTCGGTTCAGAGTGGAGCAATTTGACTGAAATTTTCAGCATATTCTATTCTCGTTATGTATTTTTTAACTATTATAGCGAGAACAGCCAACTCTTTATTTAATCTCCCATAATGCCCCTGTAACCTAAATGTCTACCAATCAATCTAAATATATGAATTTACCAGTAGTGTGTCAGATCCACCAACAATACTGAGACCTAATCCGGTTTTTCCCTTTTCTATTTCTAAATATGTTTCACGACCTGCTGCTATTTCACAGGTTAGGGGGTCAACTGTTACAAGCGTTTTTGAGTCTACTGGATCTGTAGAAGATTCACCTGAATAAAATAAAAACAAATACATCAATAAGAAACTATTAGCAAAGTTTTGTGTTTTTGGATAACACATCTTAACAATCCAGCTCAAAAAAAGCTTTAAATTCATCCATTCAACACAAAATAGATCATTTTGGGACTAACATCGGTTAAATTTTATTTCAATAATTTGCTTGCGAGTAGGGGTCTTTAGCAATGGGAGGAAACCAGAGGACAATGAGAAATCCCACGAGGTTGGACAGGCGACCCTACTCCTTGTCACGTACAAGCGGGAAATCAAAACTATGCCACTTGACTCAATGACAGACCTTATGATCCAACATACACACATTAACCATTCAGCCACCCAACCCTGCTTAAATTCATAAGGAGATGTAAGGACTCTTTATCCAACGACTGGTGGCTATCAAGTAAACTTGAGGATGTCAAGCCACCAAGCATGTACCAACTGAATAAGAAAACATCTCCACCAATCGTCACAGTCGATAGATTCTCACTGTGAATGATTACATCACAACTCTTGCCACAGAGGAATCTCTTGTGAGTTAGTGTCACATGGTAGCTTAAAAAAATCACAAGAACAACTTTAAAATACCTGTCATATTGGATAATTGCATAACAGGTTTCACTTCTTCAACTTTCTTTAGTCTTCGGATTTTTAATCGAACACTTCCCTGAATTGTGCGTAGAATTTCTATTGCCTGTAACCAGAAAGAAAAAATAAATTAACTCACACTGTTTGTGTCATGTTTCAATTAATTATGAATTAAAAGCTGTTTGTGATCATTACAGAACCAACACGCCATAATAAAAGTTCAATGTAAGTCATTTTATTATAAAAAGTACTTTTATTGAAATATAAGTATCGTTAAATGAAGATTAACTATAATTATATATACTTTATTAAGTTATCAGATGTGATGTACGTCTGCCTTTCATGGCTACATACATAAACACCAGGACTGAGGGGCCCACTCACTGCACATGCGTTATACAAGTCTAATGAATATTCACGAGTCTGACAAATATGGTCAACAAAATATTCAAATCAATCAATTCTAACTTAAAATTATAGCCATTACAGTTTATATTGGTTTCACACTTCCATGTTTACTTGTCTTAGTACAGTAATAATAATTCTACTAGCCTGTTCTTCATGACATCTTTTTTTAAAATTTAGATGTTTTTAATTACAAAAACAGCCTTTACATTAAAATATAAACGGTGCATATTTTTGGCTTCTTAGAAATGAAATGGTGTTTATGGCACGTCGGCACCAACCTGGCTATATTGCGCCAATTGAATTCCAAAATATATGTTATCGGTCAGGCATGCTGTGATCTTAAATGAAATGGGGTTTAACATCCTACTTTTCAGGGGGAGTTAGATGGCCGAATGGTTAGCACGCGCGCTGTATCATACTGTCTGTCATTGAGTCAACTGGCGGGGTTTCGATTCCCCGGTTGTATGTGGCAAGAAGTAGGGTCGCCTGCCCAATCTCGTAGGTTTTCTCCGGGTCCTCCGGTTTCCTCCCACTGCTAAAAACCCCTACGCGCAAGCGAATTATTGAAATAAAAATAACCATATGTTAGTCCCGAAATGACCTAGTTCGTGTTGAGTGAACGTTAAACCCCATTTCTCTCACCCTACTTTTCAGCTCCGACTGGGCTAATGAAGACAGGCATACACCATGCAGTGTGCTATGAGGGAAATTTGGTCTGTACAGCGGCACTATGGTACACTCTTATATCAAATACCAAGGGTATGTGTACACAGAACCTCTCTTTTTTGTTCCATCCGAACGAATAGACAGCTATCCTTATCAGGCCCTCTGTCTTGCACCACCCATCAAGGGGGAACCACTCTGGAAATTGTGCCTCTAATATATATATATTTGACTAACCTGTTCATAAGTTACACCTGAGAGAGGTTTATCACCAACTTCTAATACACGATCACCAACTGACAGCTGACCATCCTGAAAGTAAAATGTTACAATAAGTATTCCGTTCCATCCAGCATATCTAATCTAAATCAATTCTTTATGTGCATAGTGACTACGCAATCTCGAAATTCCCACAAATCTCAGAATATGATCTTAATAGCAAACAAGGGTTAAGTTTTGAGTTAGTTATCTTGGTGGACTGATTGCAAAACCATTCTCAAATAGGGCCTACCAATGTTTCAATGAACTGAACTGTTGAATATGATTACACAGAGAAAATCAATGCAAATATTGGCCGAATCAATCCTGATTTATAAATCAGACAGATGAAGCACTCTTTTCCGAAATACGATGAATGCCACTTGAACCATTCCATTGACGTAACCAGTTTTATCTCCCTTCCACATCCATATAAATTAAATCAGTAAAAGCACAAGAAATACGGTTTTAAAATCATTGTCATAAAATTCAGTTATCTTGACTCAAAATCTGACATTTTCTAAAGTTTAGAGAAAATATTCGAATAAAAGCGTTTTTATCGATCACTGATTAACTGAAGTGATTTGCATTCAATCAAATTTTCATCTTTAACGTCGTTCTATTTCAAAATGACACAAGGTACAATTTTATGGATACACAATTACTGAGTTGAATACTAAGCGATGAGGATACTCTCGTCTTTATCAAGCAAATATTGATAAAGACGAGAGTATCCTCGTCGAAACGTCGTTTAGTATTAAACTCAGTAATTGTGTATCCATAAAATTGTACCTTGTGTTAATATGTTCAATTACTAAATGCCAATCAAAGAAGATATTTCAAATTGATTCCTCTAATCAATGAATATATCGACACCGATTTCCGAAGCGATTACCACAAATCGCCAAATCACCTCTAGGTACAATTTGATGATTTGACTGGGTGATCACATGTTTTTTCAACTATATCCAGCCACAAGAATTGTTTACAGCTAATCAGCGTATTTAACGAACTTGGCAAAGTACTTTGAAATCGACTATACTGTCACATGACATCTCCACTAAATTCCAAGTGATTTGGCAAGTCGATAAAATAGCCTCAAGTTTAAGTGCTTACCTGGTCAACGATGCCACCTGGTGTTATACTTTTTACATAAAAAAGGCTTGGACGACCTTCAACTGTTGCTTCAGCAATACCAAACCCAAGACCTTGTGGACCCTGTTCAAAGAAATTCCATTAGTAAATGTACAGATAATAGAACAATAATTAGAAATAATATTGATGTGGTTGACCGTTTTAATAAGCTACTATAGTTCACCATTAGAAATATCAGTACATAGATCCGGGATCCCATTCTTTTGTAAATAATACAAATTTTGTCCATGAGTGCTGAAGGTTCTTCTCAGCTCGGAATGAGAGTCAAATCCTGGAACAATCCTGTCACAAGTCCAGTGTTCTCACTGTACAACTACTTTAGTTCTATCAGGGACAAACTCACCTTTTTAAGAAAAACAATTTCTGGTTCTTCTAATAATGGTACAACTTCTACATCTTTGGGTTTTGGTGGCACAACATGAACTGGTGATTCATGAGGCTCATTTGGGTTTCTCTGAAATAGAAGATAAATATTAATTATCTTTGAGGGGCCGAGGGGGTAGGAAAACAATGCCTTCATCATGAAATGGGGTTTAACGTCCTACTGTTTGCTCCAAACTGGGCTAATGCAGAAGGGCATATGCCATACAGTGTGCTATGAGGGAAATTTTGCCCGGACAGCGGCCCTACGGCCTACTCTTATATCAACTTCCAACTGCCAAGGGATCTTGCACGCCAATGTGTATGCGGGACATTGGTTTTCCGTCCCATCCGAATGACTACACAGCTGTCCTTGTCAGGTCCTCCATCCTGCATCACTGACAAGGGCGAAGCACGCCGGAAAATCTGGATGAACTTTCTTGGCAAATGCAGGGACCTCCAGGCTAGCGAGCCAGCGTCTTACTCACTTAGCCACCGTAGCCTCCCCCTTCATCATGACATTTGGTGGTAAAGTTTAACAACATCAAACAAATTCTGGAACCTTATTAATTTCATCTTCGCATTATTAAGTGTATGCTGAAACACAGTGCAATATTCACCCTTGACAGCTTTGTCTTCAAGTTATGTACAGTAGTGACATCTAACGAGAAGAATCAAAGTAGACTTCAAGACTTTATGCATATTGCTCTCTCAACTAGTTGAAATTTAGTTTTTTTGTTTAACAAATGGGGAATATGTAATAGAATTTTTCTATGGTTACAAGCGCAATTCACGGACAGCAACATTTCTTTCAATTCCATATACACAGTGAACGACATCAACACCATGACCATTCAAATATTACAAGCTGATTCAGTTCAAAAATAATTTGTTTATTCACACATGTTTACCTGACAAACAAATAATTATGAACACAATGTTTCAGTTTAATCCTTAGGTAACAGATTTCAGTAACCGTAGCACATATTTCAACACAAAACAATCAATCCACATTCTTCATTTATCGTTAATTCTCCGTAAAAAAAATCAATCAACGCTTCCCAGTTAAAAAATATCCCATTTCAATCATACCGTATTACAGTGACATCAACACTACAATCTTCTAACAAGTCAAATTATCGTGTAATACATCGACATTTACTATAGTCACAATCAAAGGAAAATAATCAAGCGATGGTATAAGAGTCGGTAGAGATCGAAGAACTTCTAATCGATAGTACTATTTTTACTACACTTTAACCACCCTCGAGTTTTTCTTAGATTTGGTCTTTCAATCAATGACGTGGCTTAACGGATATATACGTGGTGGAGCTAAATCTAGCAGTAGCAGACATTGATGTAAGAAATGTCAATCTAGAAAGCCTTGCACACACAGAGAGAGAGAGAGAATAATCAATAGAGAAGACAAGAGTCCACAAACATGTATGTGCTTCTTCTCTACTTCACTAGCTTTCTAGCTTTTATCTCGTTTGCAAATTAGTTCAAGTTAAATTAAAACTCAGTTTAAGGACAGAATTCCAACCTCTAAATCAACATGGATCAAAAAAAATTGACATTTCTTTAATGGAAACGATACTGAATCTAAGGTCAGCCTCAGTCTATGCCATTTTTCTGTAATTATGAAAATGATGTCTCCAAAACTCACCAGAAGATCATCCATTACTGAAAAATGACGGTTACTCAAACAGTAGTTATCAATAGGATTCTTCCTCTCATGAACATAAACATTGAATATCAACTCAATCAAATGATATACTAGACACTGTGACACAATAGACACTGTGTATAAATTTTATGGATGACTGATGGTTAGACCACCGACAGCTGTGTGAGACATAAACTTTAACAATAAAAACAATGCAAGATAGTTTTCAATCATGTAACAACATCTGTAACTCTTCGAATAGTTATATACTTGATTCATTCTACTTAATTATCAAGAGAATGGACTCGTTTCAAATTCTAAAACATACATTATGCAAGAGCTAAATCTGCCTATTGCAGGCCTTTCTTTAGGCTTGAAATGTTATCTAAATTATTAATTAGACATTAATTAACTTATCCAGGTCATAATCAACTCTTGATGGCATCGCTAGCCTGCGATGTTTATTGGATTATGTTCCGATTTGCTGTTCAACTTCCATTCATAATTTAATCATGAAATGGATAATCGAGACTATGTTTTTATAGTACCGACTTTAGTAATGATGATCAAGGCTAGGTCGAAATTTCAATCGCTTAATTCTCAGTCCATAGTGGATCAATTTAACTGAAATTTTCAGCAAATTCCCTTTATATTATCTAGTTTTTAACTATTATAGTGAGGAGAACTGCCAGCTCTTTATCTTATCTCCCATAATGTATCTTTAATTTCAACCTGTACTAATGTGTGTAGGCAAATGAAATTTAGGTATTAAAGGTCTCTTAATGTTTACGATATAGAAACATGCCCTTTATACGATCAGTGGATTATCAACTAAAAATAGGAAGGTCCTCGATTAGTAGCGTATCACATTAACTTGTCAGTCAATTTACATAAACTTTTAATTTCAAGTGTTGAAAATATTCCTTGTTAATGTAGCATAAACAAAATACAAAAAACAATTGACCGGATTGCAAAAATTTTGATTGAGAGAGCTGGATGGTTCACGCGTGCACGTTGTATCATAAGGTCTGTCATTGAGTCAACTGGTGTTGTTTCGATCCTCTGGTTGTACGTGACAAGGAGTAGGGTCGCCTGTCCAACCTCGTGTGTCTTCTCTGGATCCTTTGATTTTCTCCCAGTGCTAAAGACCCCCACGCGCAAGCGAATTATTGAAATAGAATTGAACCATATGTTTGTCCCAAAACGACCTAATTTTGTCGAACGGACGTCAAACCCTATTTCTCTCTCTCTGTTATCATCCAAAGACTTTTAAGAAATCTGTGATTAAGACCGCGTAATAGGACGTATAAACTTGATTTAACAGAATTTTATATATCAGAATATCAGAATTTTGATTGGTAGGTTGATCAATCATATTACCAAACATGGCCGATAAGAAATGTCTGTAAAGGAGTAAACAACCCCAAAATAGAATTAACTTAACATCAGTATAATTAAGATTGGTAATCTTAACTTAGATTTCCTTGTATTATATAACACCAATATCATTTAATCACCAGTTATTTGGCAATCAGTGGGTTGGGTGGTCTAGTGGTTTAACACGTGCTCGTGATATCAGAAGATCTGTCATTGAGTCAATTGGCGTGGTTTCGATTCACTGCATGAACGCGACAAGGAGATACGGTCTCTTGTGCAACCTTGTGGGTTTTCTCCGGGTTCTCCAGTTTCCTCCCACTACTAAAAACCTCTACGCACAAGAGAATTATTGAAATAAAATTGAACATGTTAGTCCCCAAATGACCTAGTTTGTGTCCAGTGAACGTTAAACCTCATCTCTCTCTCTCTCTCTCCTTAAAATAGAAACAAAATTTAAAGATACTTGTCCAACCTCGTGGGTTTTCTCTGGGTTCCCTACGCGCTACCGAATTATTGAAATAAAATTGGACCACATGTTAGTTCCAAAATGACCTAGGTTATGTCAAGTAGATGTTAAACCCCATTTCTCTCTCACTTTATTAAGTAATCAATCAGTAAGCATCACTGTACAGTGAAATATATAGACTATGATAGACTATAAGAAGTGCCTCAAGTTAGAGACAGTTTCTAGTATTCGAGACATATATCAAGGTTAAATATTTATTTAGGATCCAACTGATAAATAGAAATCACAGACAGGATAACCATGGAAACGAAATGAACCATCATAAGACTGAAATATTTAGTAAACAATATATGATAGAAATGACTGGGTATAATATATTAGCCAATCTTCATCCTTGACAGACTTTCTCTTCCAAAATTTGTAACAGACAGACTTTTTAATCAATTGGGGGGCGCTGTATCATAAGGTCTGACATTGAGTCAAGTGGCATAGTTTCGATTCCCCGGATGTACGTGACAAGGAGTAGAGTTGTCTGTCCAACCTTGTGGGTTTCTACCGGGGTCCTCTGGTTTCCTCCCACTGTAAAAGACCCCTACGTGCAAGCGAATTAATAAAATAAAATTGAACAATATGTTAGTCCCAAAATGACCTAGTTTGTGTCAAGTTCAATCAATAATATAAAATTAATAAAATAAAATTGAACAATATGTTAGTCCCAAAATGACCTAGTTTGTGTCAAGTTCAATCAATAATATACCTTATCCTAATATTAATTATTAGAAATAGTTGAAAATCAATAGGCTTCTTTGTCTCATGACCTTAAACACTGTGTATAAATTTAAAGACAATCGGATATTAACTTTAGCCTCTAGAGCGTCCACAAGTGGCAGCGACAATATACAACCACATTTCAATGTGGGTGTATAAAAATGGATATGGACGCCAATTATGAGAAAATTATAGTATTATTAATAATACTGATTTAATATTAAACTAAAATATTGTAAGGATGCAGTTTTTTCACTCTAAGCCAATAAAAGGTTGCACTCTTGAAATATTTTACTTTAAATTTTTGTGAACAAGGCCGACTCTCAGAATCCAGACACACATCCCTCAAAGCTCAACTAAACTTACAATTTCATTGGGTAATCCCCTATATCAAAGTAAGAGAGAGTGAGAGAGATGGGGTTTAACGTCCACTCGACACAAACTAGGTCATTTCGGGATTAACATATGGTTTAATTTAATTTCAATAATTCGCTTGTGCATAGGGGTCTTTAGCAGTGGGACCCTACTCCTTGTCACGTACAACTGGAGATTCGAAACCACGCCAGTTGACTCAATGACAGGCCTTATGATACAGCGCGCACATGCTAACCAGTCGTCCACCCCCCCACCCCCCTTTGAGAGAGAGAAATGTGGTTTGAGGTCCAATCAACACAAGCACAGTTCATTTTAATGAAATTCTAACATTAAAAAAATGAAATAAAATATCTTATTTTATCAGACTTCAAGATTTATTAGTCTATTCACCATCAATTATTTTATTGTTTTGAGAGGTTTTAAGTTTTAGCAGATTTAAAGGGAAACTACTCCACTCTATATTTTGCTACTAACACTTAAATTACACACTACTTTTACACATCTGGACAGAAATCTTTCTAGGAGAATTTTTTCATCAAGAAAGCATTCATAACCTGTAATATATTTATATCAGATTCCTAAAAGTATTGGCATCATCATTCAGGTATTTCCCATTCAAATCTACTGAGCAGACAATCTAGACTGGATTCCACTAAAACTCAATTAGTAAAGAATGTCAAGGCCTGGGGAAAACTCCGTAATTTGGGACATGTGAGAAAACTGATAGAACCAGCTTACAAGCAGAATAATGAAAACTAAGAGCTAATATAAATATGGTGCCATGCTACATGATCAATTTCTTGTTTTATGTTATTTGTTGCAAGTATCCAGTTTAGAGTGAGAGAGAGATAGATATGGGGTTCAACCTCCACTCGACACAAACTAGGTCATTTCGAGACTAACATATGGTTCAATTTTATTTCAATAATTTGCTTGCACGTTGGGTTTTTTAGCTGTGGGAGGAAACCAGAGAACCCGGTTGGACCCATGACCCTACTTCTTGTCACATACAACCCTTATCCATTTGAGCAATAATGATAAATTTAGAATATAAATCTATTATTTGAATGTATAGATTGCCTCATGAATATCAGTCATCACTACCTATACATAACATCAGGAACACCCTGCAATTTAAACACATAATAGTCAGCCCTTATTTCTTTCATTTTTTTTAATATCAAATCATCATTTTAACATTCGTAAATATAGGCTAAAACCACCCCAAATCATCTAATTTGTACTTGTGTCCAGCTTAAAGCTGACTGATTAATTTTGACAACCAGCGTCCAATTTACAAATGTTTAATTTCCGGAACGACCCAACTGATTATTAATGTATAATAATAGTTTATTTGAACTTTATTTTTGACCAGGGGTCGGAATATTAAACTCGTTATAATAAGCCTTGTCTAATTGAATGCTTGTAATCAAAATTAAGCATTCCGCTTTAAACTGGGCACAAGTACAAATTAGATGATTTGGAATGATTTTAAACCATTTTATGAAATGGACTTGATATAGAGAGAGGGAGAGAAATGGGGTTCAACGTCCACTCGACACAAACTAGGTCATTTCCGGACTAACATATGGTTTAATTTTATTTCAATAATTCGCTTGCACATTGGGGTCTTTAGCAGTGGAAGGGAAACCAGAGGACCCAGAGAAAACCCATGAAGTTGGACAGGCGACCCTAATCCTTGTCACGTACAGCCGGGGATTCGAAACCATGCCAAATAATATTAAACTTATTTCTTACCTCCATCGATGTTGGTGGTGGACCCATACGTAATGGTTTAATTGCCATATGATCCAAGAAATCTTCCCGTCTGCAAGAAAAAATATTTTTTATATAAAAAAGAATTATTTACAGAAACTGGATTGGAGATTTATCCATGGGTTTTATCATCTATTTTAATATATTTAACTAATGTCTTAAGTTAAAACTAGACAAAAACAAAACAAAACATGAGTTTGATTTTATATTTAAGATTTATTCAGATGATCACTCTGAGCCAGTGATGATGAAATGAGGTTTAATGTCCTACTGTTCTGCTCCTATACTCAGTAACGATGACTTTAAAATATTGTTGAAATTGATTAAATAGCCAATCAACTGTTTCGAATGAAATAAATAAATAACCAAGAAATAAAATGGCATTAATTCTTGACATAATTTTGATTCAACTGTAACAAATTAAATAAATGTATTGGCAGGGATGACATGGTAGATCTATTTCAGATTTTGCATACAATCTAATACATCCTCATGAAACTGCATATGCAAATCAGGTCCAACTGAAAATTTGTTTCTGATCCATGGCGAACATCTTCAAAGTACTAATGCTATCTATTCAAAGTGGCGACATGATAATGCTTATTAGGACAGGCAGAAAATATCAACATTGCCGATAATCAACGGCAAAACGTTTTGAAGATCGAAAATCGCGCAAATTAAAATTATAGGTAGCCAATTATAAGAAGAAATAAATAAAAGATAAAAAGATAGTCTGTATTACAGTATTCTTTGCAACGCGTGCTTGCACTTAGCTCGGTAACTGTAATGAAACTAAAAGTAATCAAACAATCACACAAATTTGATATTACAGCATAAACTCACATATAATTCATTATTCATATACAAATTATGAATGTTTTCAAACCAATTGTAAGAAAAAATAGTCGCCAAAATTATCGATTATTGATCGGCCATTGGTCAATGATTATCGATACTTGAAACCAATATCGATTGCCACTCCTGATGCTTATAATGTTCCATATAACCAACACGGGATAAATAAACCTCTTGTTGTAAATACACCAATAACAATATCATTCATACTCCTTAACATATGGGAGATAACTCTTGCTTACCTGAGTAAAATAATTTTGACTGTATGTGCTGTTACAGCTTTTATGATTGAAGAAGCATTGAGATGACTTCTGCCATATAAAACATGACCATTGACCTGGAAGTATATGAAATAATAAACAGAATAGTAGCCGGAGGTCTTGCTGCAGGTGGCTCAAACCAGGTTATTATATCACATCCTTCAAACCTCGAAGGCTGTCATCTCTAAAGATTTCTTTTGTAATTAATATGTAACAAAATCTCTATAATAATGCACCAATCAGAACATACTACATGGAAGAAAACAACAAGGCCAAATTTGATCTAATATTGATGGGATCCAAGTCATAATATAATAATGTACCAATCAGAACATACCAATTGGAAGAAAACAACAAGGCCATATTTGATATGTACAGAGATAAATCTAATATTGATGGGATCCAGGTCATAATATAATAATGTACCAATCAGAACATACTACATGGAAGAAAACAACGGGGCCATATTTGATATGTACAGAGCTAAATCTAATATTGATGGGATCCAGGTCATAATATAATAATGTACCAATCACAACATACTACATGGAAGAAAGCAAGGCCATGTGATGATATAGGTACAAAGCTAAATCTAAAATTAAACATCAATTGAACACAAACAAGGTAGGGTTAGGGTATTTTGGGACTAACATATGGTTTAATTTTATTTCAATAATTTGCTTGTGCGTAGGGGTCTTTAGCAGTGGCAGAAAACCGGAGGACCCAGAGAAAACCCACGAGGTAGGTCAGACGACCCTACTTCTTGTAACATACAAGCGAGGAATGGAAACCATGCCAGTTGATTCAATGAGAGAGAGAAATGGGGTTTAACGTCCACTCAACACAAACTAGGTCATTTAGGGACTAAAATGTGGTTTAATTTTTTTTCACTAATTTGCTTGCACGTAGGGGGTCTTTAGCAATGGGAGGGACCTGGAGAAAACTCATTCGGCCATCCACCCCCACCCATACATAGAAACAATTTTTTACCTCTAAAACTTCATCTCCGACTTTAATTCTTCCGTCTCTATAACAGGCACTATCAGGTTTAATACCAGCGACAAACACACTCATGGTACTACGATCTTTATTACCCGCTAAACTTAACCCTAATTCACTACTACCTCTATTTAAATCTATTACATGTATATCACCATTTAAATCGCCATATTTTCGTTGAATTTTTTCTGGAAAAAAAAAACAAAAAAAAATTTAATCAATTATATTTAAATCCATTACATGTATATATCACCTAAATCTCCACATTTTCGTTGAAATTTTTCTAAAAAAAAAAAAAAAATTAAATCAATTATATTTAAATCTATGACATGTATACATCACCATCTCCATTCAATTTTTTCTAAAAAAAAAAAAATAATCAATTAATAGAGTGCTAAATCCATAAAAATGTGCTCATGGCGTAAGCAACAGTCGCGCTTAAAAATATAGTTCAAACAGATGAATGAGTTTTCAAGTCAGATTTAATTTGATTGAGTGTTGAACTACTGTGAAGGTTTGAAGACAGTTTGTTCCACTTTGAAGATGCAAGGACTTGGAATGAGCGGCCACTAAAAGACTTCAAATTGAATTGAGCCTTCCATGATTAATTGATCATGAATGTTTAAAAAGTTTAAAGAGATCGTCCTGTACTTCAATAGCACTTCCATCCAGACACTGATAGGCAAGAGGCAATAATTTGACCTCAATCCTGGCAACCAGTGTAATGATAGGAGAGAGTGGGCTTGACCTCAACATGGTTCAAGTAGTCATCCAGCTATATTCTAGTGAATCAAACGGGTTAATTCTGCGTCAAACACTACTATATATCTTTTTATTTGTCCCGAACAACTATCTGAAGCTCTTTGTCCCGAACAACTATCTGAAGCCCTTTGTCTTTGTCCTGAACAACTATCTGAAGCCCTTTGTCCTTGTCTCAAACAAATATCTTAAAGTCCTTTTTCACAAACCTTCATTCTCCTTATGCCTTTGGTAATATTTAAATCCCCACAAATTACATGCTATTTCAAAGTGCCTTGTAAGCTATTCCTACATGTGATGGTACATTGGAATAAGCGGTTGAATGATGTGATGGCAAACAGTGGTCGAGTGATGTGATGGTGAACAGTGGGTTTGATATGAGTCAGTGTGATGGTATACCAGTACAAGTGGTCCAGTGATTATATATACTGGTACAAGTGGTCCAGTGATGTGATAGTAAACAGTAAGCTAGTGATGAGTCAGTGTGATGTGATGGTAAACAGTGGACTAGAGATGAGCCATTCTGATGGTAAACAGTGGACTAGTGAGGAGTCAGTGTGATGGTAAACAGTGGACTAGTGAGGAGTCAGTGTGATGGTAAACAGTGGACTAGAGATGAGCCAGTGTGATGGTAAACAGTGGACTAGTGATGGGTCAGTGTGATGGTAAACAGTGGACTAGAGATGAGCCAGTGTGATGGTAAACAGTGGACTAGTGATGAGTCAATGTGATTGTAAACAGTGGGCTAGAGATGAGTCAGTGTGGACTAGTGATGAGTCAGTGTGATGGTAAACAGTAGACTAGTGATGTGTCAGTGTGATGGTAAACAGTGGACTAGTGATGAGACAGTGTGATCGTAAACAGTGGACTAGTGATGTGTCAGTGTAATGGTAAACAGTGGACTAGTGATGGGTCAGTGTGATGGTAAACAGTGGACTAGTGATGAGACAGTGTGATCGTAAACAGTGGACTAGTGATGTGTCAGTGTAATGGTAAACAGTGGACTAGTGATGGGTCAGTGTGATGGTAAACAGTGGACTAGTGATGAGACAGTGTGAGGGTAAACAGTGGACTGGTGATGAGTCAGTGTGGACTAGTGATGGGTCTCTGTGTGATGATATACCAGTACAAATGGTCCAATGAAATAATCCAAAATTAAATGAAATGGTTGTGTGCCAAAGATGAAGTAACAAATAATAACTCTGTATTAATGGCACATGTGTATACGATAATATTTTACAGGTTTGAAATAGAAATAATAATGTATTACTATTATGGGACTATTTGGCTTAAGGGATGCCCTACAGATTTTTCTTATTTCTAAATTAGAAGCTATAGTAGTATTACACTACTCGTTTTTTGCTCGTGGTAATAAGTCAAGTCATTGTGACTATGACACATATAAAGATAACCTATATATATTGGTTATTGGTTTGCCTGAAGAAGCTTAATAAAGAGGAAAGTACTCGCAAAAACCTAGTTTTCTTTCTTAAAACAACTTTATTTCTAATCTCTAACAGATTGTAGCTTTAACTATAAACTTTTACTATATTTCATTGTCATTTGAATCCCTTGTAAAATACAATAGAGTGAGAAAAATGGGGTTTAACGTCCACTCGACACAAACTAGGTCATTTCGGAACTAACATATGGTTTAATTTTATTTCAATAATTCGCTTGCAGTAGGGGTCTTTAGCAGTGGGAGGAAACCAGGGGACCCAGAGAAAACCCACGGTCTTGGGCCGGCGACCCTTGTCATTGTCACGTACAAGCGAGGAATCGAAACCGTACCACATGACTCAATGACAGACATTGTGATTTAAAGGCTCAATACCACTCTTGTTGTAACAGAATAATATGTCCCAATCTTTATTCTGGTCAACAAATTGTACTATTTTACAATATTGCAATTAATTGATGATACAAATTTCATCTTAACACACCCAATTTAAAAAATTCAACTAACTGATTTGAAAAGTCTGACATACAGCTTTTCAAATGTGACTTGGATTTAAATATATTTTTGAACCCTCTGGACAAGTAAAATAGGATTTAATGCATAATTTACACAACAGGTAAGACACTAACACATCTAGTACTTAGAATAAGGCTATTTTTTATTTTCTGGAGCTGTCAAGCCAGCAAGAGTGTTATTGTCCCTTTAATGCATTAACAATTCGGCCACCCAACCACCATCTGCAGATGACATAAAAGAGGAATGGTCAAAATAAGGCACTGTCGTGTTTAAATCTTTTGTTGGACTTCTTTTTAATATGATTGAATCCAACCAAGTGGGAGATTATCCACTGCTGATATTTGGATTCTGTTTTTTTTTTTAAAGGGGTATTATGGAAGATTAGATTTCAGTCAAATTGCTCCACTCTGAATCGAGATATTTGCAATTCAATTTTAGGCCTAGCCTCAATCATCATTACTAAAGTTGGTACGATAAAAAACAAAGTCTTGATTATCCATTTTGACATTAAATCTTCCATCTCAAAATATGTTCCAATCCAGTAAATATCGCAGGATAGCGATGACATCGAGAGTTGGTTATGGTCCGGATAAGTTAATTAATGTCTAATTAATAATTTAGATAACATTTCAGACCTAAAGAAAGACCTGCAACAGGCAGATTTAGCTCTTACATAATATATGTATGTATTAACCCATGAAAAATTTAATAATGTACAAAATCAATCAATAGTTTTATTATACATAAAAATACATAACATGGCAGGGAACAAAAAAAAAACAATCGCATTATTCAAGGCTTTAAGAGAGGAGTGATATAGTCTAAAGGCATTCATCGTTTATCAAAATTTAAGCCACTTCAAACTGAAGAGACATCAGATTTTAGTAGACTACAGGAGGAAATTATTTAATGGAAAAATTGATGCAACCAAATGGGGTTTGACCCAATCTTCCATGATGTCAGCAAAGTTAAAACCCTTCTGAGCAAAGATTAAATTGTAAAGGAGAGAGAGAGAGAGAGAGAGAGAGAGAGAGAGAGAGAGAGAGAGAGGGGTTAACATCAACACAAACTAGGTCATTTTGGGACTAACATATGGTTCAATTTTATTTCAATAATTCGCTTGCACGTAGTGGTCTTTAGTATTTGGAGGAAACCAGAGGACCCAGAGAAAACCCACAAGGTTGGACAGCCAACCCTACTCCTTGTCACATACAAAATTTTTATACTTCGTATAAGCATGTTGCATTTAATAGCATGAATGACTTGGGTTTATAATGCTTTAACCTTCAACCTGTAGACTAAAGGAGGAAATCAATTACCCAAACTGGTGCAATGAAATGGGGTCTGACCCAATCTTCGATGATGTCAGCAGAGTTAAAACCCTTCTAAGCGAAGATTAAATTGTAAAAGAGAAAATTGTAATACTTGTTAATGTATAAGCCTGTTGCATTTTATAGCATGAATGACTTGGCTTATAAATGCTCTAACTTTCAACTTGATTAGTATTAACGCCTAGATGTTCTTCTTTATTGAATTAAGGAAAAAACAAAGTCAATCCTTCAAAGTCACTTCTTCTAAATATTTTGACTTTTAACCCATGTTGCTATGGAGACATTCCTTTTCGATTAGGAACTTTCTGATTTTTTAGTTTTAAGCAGAACAAGAATATTCAACTGACAAATAATGCCTATATTTCTTTTATTTGTAAAAAACAGTTAGGTCCTTTTTACACCTCGATTAAAAATATCAACAAATGGTTACAAATTGCAAATGGCATGGCAGTGTTAACCATTCTGCACGTCTGGATTTTGAGGGCATTAACCTACATTCAATTCTTTATGATACAATTCAAACGGATTGTACCAATCAGAATTGACAGGGAAATTCTTTGCTGAACAAATTAAACATACATTATGCAATAGTTAAATCTAGCTATTGCAGGTGTTTCTTTAGGCCTTAAATGTTATATAATCTATTAATTAAACATTCATTAACATAAAAAGACCATAAGCAACTCTCAATGCCAGATTTAAATGGATAATCAAGACTTTGTTTATTATCGTAACAATGTTCACAATGACAATCAAGGCTACAGTGTTTTTTTAAATTCGGTTTTCACGGCCTAGAGTGAAGTAATTTGACTAAACTATTCAGCATATTCTATTTACGTTATTTCCTTTTTAACTATTATAACAAGAACTGTTAGCTCTTTATTTAATCTCCCATAATGCTCCTTTACTAATTACAATGTAAAAATACGATCAATTAACCATATCATTTCAACAAGTGACAAGTTGAATGTTTCAAAACATTCACAGCCTTGATCACATTAACAGATGCCATTGAATTTAGTTAGTTTGTAGGTTGACAAGTGACAGTGTTTATAGAGCTAACATAGAATATTATCAACATGAACTTTTTTTTCTAATTGATGATTTAACATACATTATGCAA